CCCACTCAATTTTTACATATTATCAAAATGCTAAATATGGCAACAGCATATTCTCCTGACATCTTTGAATACAGCAACATGAACATTTTTAAAAGCTGAAAGAAAAGCTTACCTTTAAATAATTACTGTAAAGTTTTTCCCCCCTCTAAAATAAATTATAGCATACTATACCCACAGGAAACCTATCATTCCTACATCAGAATTAAGTATCGAATGATGATTAGGGTCTGTTAACCCCACATGAGCAGGACACTGTATTAACAAAGGAGACTAATGCTATTTGATCACCCAGTACAACACTAAACCCAGAAGTGTTCCTCTGCAGACTAAAGCCCACATGACAGATGGCATTCATGAATCCAGGATCTCGGCCGTACCTTTCCTTTGGCATGAGGAATGCCCAAAGGACATTGATGAACTCCACCTAACAAAGCAGCCATTGCAAAACTGTATCCACTAACAGCTTCTGGTGAAGTCTTCAAGTTGTTGAGCCGTTCCGCACACCTGTCTAGAAATGGCGTCAACTGGAAAGGCAAAGCCACAGCCACGCAGCGCAAGCACCATGCAGCAGCCAGTCGTGCAGCCATACTTGGATGAAGCAGCACTGAAGTCACAATCTCCAAAAGGCCTAAAAAAGAAATAATCAAAATTACTCTTTAATAAAGCCAAGTGATTTCAAAAACTACGACTATATGTAACATAATAACTGAAATCATAATACCCATGATTTCACATATATAGTTTTATGACTTTGCCCCAAACCATATATATTACTTCTAAACTGCAGAATACTTTAAAGCAGTGGTTCTCAACCTGTGGGTTGCGACCCACAGGAACTGTATTAGGCATTAGGAAGGTTGAGAACCACTGCTTTAAAGGAACATTTTCTACAAAGAACATAGTACAATTATATCCATAAAATACAAATGGCAATGTAGAATTAAATCAAAGTAAACAAATTTTCGTCAATTGTTAGAAACAATCACCATGACTATTTCTGACGCGTCTCCCAAACTCAGTTTTTCCTACCACAATGAATCTTACATTAAATGAAGCCCAATGATCTTAACTGCTAATTATGATAATAAAAAACTAATCAGGAGTTAAATATCAATCACACCCATGGCTTTGAAAAACAGTGAAAACACAGGCTGGAAGTAACTGAAGTCCTACCTATAGACGCCTCCTGAATGAGAGGGGATGCGGTGGCATTCAGGCTCTGCACCAGGCTCCCAAGCTCCTGGAGCGCACAGACCATGACGTGCTGGCTGGCTGCAATGTCCGCGGCGCCAGATTTGTTCTCACCACTGGTATCATTCACTACTGCTTCTGGAAACACAGAAGTTTATCTCTAATGTAGGTGAAATGAACTGTGATTATCATTTAATTTGTTCTACACGATTGTTCTATTTACGATTTTAGTTATACCAACCGATGACTATTAAGAACTCTTGTTAGTTATCAGCAAAAACCTGATGTAACTAAACACTGAATCGACCTAAAAACACTGTTTAATGACTTTATGATAATGCCTAAATATATACTGAGGAATAAATTTCACTGCTTCTAGGAACACAGCCTAATTTTAGAACAGAGCAGCAATCCACAGTGTACAAAACCAGACTCTGGAGAAAGACAACTATTATGCACTTGTTACCATGTTTATTATTATTACTATTGCTATTTCAAGGGCTCCAATATACTGGAGGTATCATTGTCAAAGTACTGACCAGAAAGTGCATCTGTAAGGAAAGTGGCTTTAGATCTGCTCACTGCCACGTTTCTCAAATTTCTCATTAGTTTTGCTGGCCCCTCTCCACACTTTTTAATTTCTATCATAGTTGAAATGTATTTGACATAACACATCTAAAGATCCTTTGACAAATCATTAACTGACGGTATAAACTAGCCCATAAATGCCCGTGTATATCACTGTATGTAATTATGCTTTTAGGAATTTTTAAATCAAGTAACTAATCTATGACCTTAAGATTAATAACTTTTAAATGACAGTAAACTTTTCTTTTTGCATTCATCATGAATAGATTATAAAAATATGTAATAAAAAGAATAACAGAATATGATAGATTAATAAATTATTAACCATAATTAATTAAGAAAAGAGATATCTTTTCTTTTTAGGTATTTTTGGACTTGGAAATACATGCATTGTATCTTTTGTGTGTGTATGTGTGGTTTTTGGCCGGGGCTGGGTTTGAACCCACCACCACCGACATATGGTGCCAGCGCCTTACTCCTTTGAGCCATAGGTGCTAGCTGCATGCATTCTATGTTTGCTAAACAACAGGCTCCCTGAAGACAGATGCTGTCTGTTTCTGGTTTTCCACCATTGGGCATAATGTTTCTGGCACTCAAACATTTCTTCAATGAATCAATGTACAATTTTTTTTTCAAGTTGTGAATGTAGACCAGATTACTATTTTAACATATCTAAAGAAAATACCTGGCTCAGCACCCGTAGCTCAGTGGTTAGGGCGCCAGCCACATACACCGAGGCAGGCGGGTTCGAACCCAGCCCAGGCCAGCTAAACAACGATGACAATTGCAACAACAACAAAAAAAACAGCCAGGTGTTGTGGCAGGCGCCTGTCGTCCCAGCTACTTGGGAGGCTGAGGCAAGAGAATTGCTTGAGCTCAAGAGTTTGAGGTTGCTGTGAGCTGTGATGCCATCGCACTCTACTGAGGGTAACATAGTTAACTCTGCCTCAAACAAACAAACAAACAATAAAAACACTTCATTATTTTAAACACTGCTTACCTCACAATTCATAATTTTCAGAGAGTGTTTTATATTTAAAAAATGTTTTACTAAGTTACTATAAACAAAAACTATAACTAATCTATAAATTTGTATTAACTTATAAAATATTTAATATATTCTCTAAAAAATATTACTAATTATATCTATTCATTAAATCCTTAGGGTTTTTGTTTGACTTTTTTAGAGAAAGGTTCTACTTTGTTGTCTAGATTGGAAAGCAGTGGTACTGCTTAGTATATATAATCATAGCTTACTGTAATCTTGATTGCTCGAGCAATCCTTCCATCACAGCCTCCCACAGTGTGCGTACCACCATGCCTGGCTAATTTTTTAAATTTTTTGTAGAGCATCTTGCTGTGTTGCCAAGGCTGGCCTCAAACACCTGGCCCCAAGTGATCCTGCTACCTTGGGCTCCCAAAGTGCTGGAATTATAAGCATGAGCCACTGTGCCTAGCCTAAATCCTTATTTATAAAGATCTCTATTGGGCAATATAATTTGTCTTATTAAAGTTAATGTATGTTTCTAACAGTTATAAAACTAAAGTGTTTTATAGAATTTATAGTTTGTCCTGCTTTAGGTCCCTTATAATTGGTTTCTAAACTCCATGAAGACAGGAACTGTATCTCCCTGATTACTTAAAATCCTGAATTATTACTCTGCAAATCTCAGAAACTCAATAACTATTTACACTGAAAAATTAATAAAATTGACACTTCTTTTTTTTTTTTTAAACCATGCACTACCATAAATTATGCAGTCAAATTTCCCACATTTGGGGAAATTGCAGGGTTAGCATATCTAGAGAGCAATGGTTAAGCTTTGCCCTGGGAAAACCACCTTTGTGATCATGGTATCCCCTCTGTCAGGTAAATATGAAAATTGACACTTCTTAAAAAAGGATTTCTTTTAATTATAAATTACTGAGTTTTCACAACATATCTATAGGGGGCTAATAACTACCTGTAATAAGCCTATTAGGAGAGGAAAAAAAAACAACAAAAGTATAGGTTTATAAAACAACAGCCCCCAACCAAAAAAACTATAATAAGATTATTCCTTGAAGACAGCAACCTATGGGCTGCTATATACCAGGAAAGTTGTAAAATCACTATAGATACTAGAAGTAAAACACAAAATGTAATCTTACAAACATGCTTCCCAAATCTTTGGAAACTCTATTTCACTATATTATATTTTGTTTAATCTAAAATAGAATATTCAATAAGATGACTATAAAAGCATTGCCCAGAAAGGTATAAACTACATCTGTTAGTATGTATTAAGAATAAAGAACTAGGCTCGGCACCTATAGCTCAACC